GAGATATAGGGTGTTCAAAATCGAGATTTTTCAATTTCAGGAATTTTTTGTGTCGAAACTATTCATTATCGATCAAAACGGCTCACATGTCCCTATCTCAACTTTTGATTCACTATCTACTGACATTTAATTGGAACAGATACAGGGTGATCAAAATTCTGAATCTTGGACCATCCTGTATTTTTCCAATTAAATGTCGGTGGATAGTTGATCAAAAGTTAATATAGGGACATGTGAGCCGTTTTGACCAATGATGAATAGTTTCGACACAAAAAAATCCTAAAGTTGAAAAATCTCGATTTTGAACACCCTATATCTCTGTAATAATTCCTGCTAGACCCCAAGTGTGATGCATTGATGAAATCAGCTCTTTGAGAAGAATCTAAAAACGCAATAAAATACAGGGTGTTCCATTTGAAATAACAAAGATGATGCTACTTTTTGGTTAAAGTGGCAACGCTCCTTCGCTGAAAATATTTAGAATCGTTAGATTACAAACGCTTATTAGAGTAACCAAATTTTCAGGATAATCCAATGTACCGTTTTCCGTATACGTCTAAGGTACCATCGACCGTGAGCCACCCTGTATATATAATAGATAATATATTATATAGGTGTTTCTATCCATGTGTATTTTGACAAAGTTATGATTTTTTTTTCGAAATTCCAAAAAAGGGGCCTGTGAAATTAATTCTTGCCCAACAAAATATTGTGAGATATACACATTATCAAGTACCATTAGAGGAAAAATGCATATAAACAAACTCCCACCCACTCCCATCCAAAAAGATAAAATTTTTAAAATTACAATAAAAATTGATCATCGCGAGCGTTTAAATAAAAGCTTTTTAATGAAAAGTTTTTTTTACTTTTAATTATTTTTTAATTTTTAGTTATCGCTAGCTGGATTTTTCGACGAACCTTTTCATTTGATACCCATATTGTAGAAGTATGTTGAAAATGACCATTCCGCCATCTTGGATGGTCCGCCATAATGAATTTAGAATGACGTCAAATCATTTTTCGAGTTACTTTCAACGAGCCTTTTCATTTGATACCCATATTGTAGAAGTATATTAAAAATAGCTATTCCGCCATCTTGGATGGTTCGCCATATTGGATTTAGAATAACGTCACATTATTTTTCGAATTTCTCTCAACGAGCCCTTTCATTTGATACCCCTATTGTAGAAGTAGATTAAAAATTACCATTTCGCCATCTTGGATGGTCCGGCATATTAGATTCAGAATGACGTCACATCATTTGTCGAGTTACTCTCAACGAGCCTTTTCATTTGATACCCATATTGTAAAAGTATATCAAAAATAGCTATTCCGCCATCTTGGATGGTTCGCCATATTGGATTTAGAATAACGTCACATCATTTTTCGAATTACTCTCAACGAGCCCTTCCATTTGATACCCATATTGTAGAAGTAGATTGAAAATGACCATTCCGCCATCTTGGATGATCCGCCATATTCGATTTAGAATGACGTCACATCATTTTTTGAGTTACTCTCAACGAGCCTTTTCATTTGATACCCATATTGTGAAAGTATATAAAAAATAGCTATTCCGCCATCTTGGATGGTCCGCCATATTGGATTTAGAATAACATCACATTATTTTTCGAATTACTCTCAACGAACCCTTTCATTTGATACCCATATTGTAGAAGTAGATTAAAAATGACCATTCCGCCATCTTGGATGGTCCGCCATATTCGATTTAGAATGACGTCACATCATTTTGTCGAGTTACTCTCAACGAGCCTTTTCATTTGATACCCATATTGTAAAAGTATATCAGAAATAGCTATTCCGCCATCTTGGATAGTCCGCCATATTGGATTTAGAATGACGTGACACACCTTATCGTGCATTGTCATCCAAACTGAACGTGTATACAAAATTTCAGCTCAATCGGTTGAAGATTTCTACTTCAAAATTGAGTTCAAAGATTCCACCCGAACATACATACATACATACATACATACATACATACATACAAACATACAATGCAAGTTAAATAAAATCTTTTAAAAACTCCCATCCATGTGTATTTTGAAAGTTATAATTTTTTTTAGAAATTCCAAAAAAGGGGGCCTGTGGGGTTAATTCTTGCCTGACAAAATATTGTGAGATATACACATTATCAGGTACCATCAGAGAAACACATTCATAGAAAAAAACTCCCATTCACATGTATTTTGAAAAAGTTATGATTTTTTCTTTGAAGTTCTGAAAGAGGGGGCTGTGAAGTTAATTCTTATCTGACAAATTATTGTGAGATATACAGATTATTATAGCCCCTCAGAGGAAATCATTTATGGAAAATAGTTTCATCCATGGACATATTTTGGAGGTTTTAGTAAATTCATGGCCAGTCATGAATATGAATTAATAATGATCGACCATTGGTGGTAAGGCGCGCGCCTTGAATATTAGGGGAAGTGGTGGCTGGAACTTGTGGCTGGTTTCACACTGATCCATTCTAGTCTGTTCAACATTGTTGTAATAGGAGTATGTCTATTACAGGGAAGGATTATATGCATTGATCAGTTCTATCATTTTTGAAATCAATATATTTGATTTTGGTTCAGTAAATACAAAATAGTTGAGCAGTAAGTGAAGTGGGGAAGTATGATAAGTATTGTATATATATAATCCTATTGGTACATTGATTGACATATCTCGAACAACTATATAGAAAGTTTACTTTAAATGATATTGTTTTTATTAAACAAGCTGCATGTTCTTTGAAAGTTAGTCTATAATCAACCATAATACCAAGGTATTTGAATGTATCTACCTGCTGGATTATTTCATCACCAATTTTTATTTTCATTTTCTGCCCCAGAAAATTATTATAATTCCTTTCATTAGCAATAGATTTCCACAGCACCATTCTTGTATTTGATTTACTGAATTGTTGAGAGCTTGTACCAAAAGCGCTGGGTCTGATGCAGAGAAATAAATCAAAGTGTCATCAGCAAACAAGTGGATTTTACAACAGTTTCCTACTGCTTGGACTATGTCATTGATGTATATTAAGAACAATAAAGGTCCAAGAACACTTCCATGTGGAATGCCATTCCAATGCTTCATCTTTGATACCAACACATCTTAGTTTTTCAATCAAACTATCTGGAACCACAGTTTAAAAGGCCCTTTGAAGGTCAAGAAATACAGCACCTGTCCAGTTTAAAAATCCCTTTGAAGGTCAAGAAATACAGCACCTGTCATTGGATTGGATTTGCTCCTAAACTTTTTTTTCCAGTCATCCAGAACACATTGAATGCTTCAAAAAAGTGTCAAAAATGGGCAATAGCCTAGGATTAGAACCTTAAATTAGCCCTAAATTATGGTAAAAATAGTTTTGTGATTCGACTTATTTGATTTGCTATTGATTTGTTATGTTCCTGTTGGATTTATGAAAATTTTTGAAGAAATGATCAACAAGAAAATCAAGAATAGATTCGATAAAGAGCCATAAAATAGCCTCAAATCATAGTGTACTCAATATCCTTATATTCTGTCTACTTGAGATTTGGATCTGCTAGCTTAAGGGTTAAGCTAGCAAAACACATGATTTAAAAAAAAACAATGTGGACAAAACCTGGAAAGAAATGGGCAATAGGCTAGGATTAGAGCCTTACATTAGCCTTGTATTATGGGATAATTAGTTTTGTGATTGAACTCATTTGATTTGCTATTGGATTGTCATGTTCATGTTGGATTTGTGAAAACTTTTACAAAAAATGATTAACAAAAAAATCAATGATAGGCTCAAGGAGCCATAAAATTGCCTTAAATTATGGTGTACTCATTATTCTTATATTGCTTCTATTTGAGATTTGGTTCTGAAGCTTCAGTGCTAGCTTGATGGTTAAGAGGTAGATTAAGCTAGTAAAACCTACAATTAAAAAAAAACAAAGTGAGAAAAAATGGGTAATAGGCTTAGCCTTAAATTATAGTTTAATTAGTTTCATGTTCATGTTGGATTTGAAAAAAATTTCACAAAAAAAGATTAACAAAGAATGTTAGGCTTAACAAAGATCCTTTAAGTAGTCTTAAATAATTGTGTACTCAATATCCTTACATACTTTCTATTTAAGATTTGGTTCTGCTGGCTCAAGGGTTAAGCTAGCAGAACCCATTTTTTCCAATGTGAGAAAAAATCAGCAATAGGCTAGGAATAGCCTCAAATTCGAGCTCAAATTAGCCATAGATTACTCCTTCTTTTACAGAAGGCATGCCTTTGAAATTCTTTACCAATGAAATATTCCCAAAAACTTATAACCTCCAAAAGTTACAAAATAAACCAACACCTACTTTCTCTTCCTATCCTCCTAGGTATGGATGTTCCATGAACATTATAGGATTTTCCTTTCATGCTCTCTATGAAATAAAAAAAATAATTTATTCACAAGTGGTTCTGCATGCTCAACCTTAAGCTAGCAGAACCCATGTATTATGGCATAAATCTGAAAGCAACAAATTCAGCAACAGGAAATAATTTAGCCTTAATATTAGCCTTAAATTATAGCAGGAAAAGTGGTTCTGCAAGATCAACATTAAGCTAGCAGAACCCATGTATTATGGCATAAATCAAAAAGCAATAAATTCAGCAAAAGGGAATAATTTAGCCTTAATATTAGCCTTAAATTATAGCAGCAAACTCTGAAGTTGTTCTGCTAGATTAATGGAGGTATAGGTATTTTGTCTCATGTTGGCCCCATATGTAGAGGTCAGAAAGAGTGAATCCATATGTATTCCTTCAAAAAAATATAAAAAAATGTTTTTGTCAACATGAGCTTCTGAAAAAAAATTCAGAGGTTTACTGAAAAACTCCTTGACAGAGGACTTTTGCATGCTTGACTCTCAATTCAAGTATTTACCTTCAAAATATTGATATATATAAAATGATATCAATTTCTAAATCTACAGATCCATAAAAACTAAAGTATGTAGTATGTGGGAGAAGAAATACATACCTTTTGGTTATATTTTCGTTTATCTCTTGGAGCTTTGACAACTCCAAATGATGCTGTAGTTGGAACTGCTGAAGGTGCAGCAGTTGGTGCAGCAGGTATAGTTGATGAAGCTGTAGCAGTTTGAACAATTGGAGCAACTGATCCATTGGTTGTCACTTCTTGCTTTTTTGGTTGAAGAACTCTTTTTGCAGCTGAATCATCTTTTTGATTGGTCTGTGACACATGTTTCAACTGCCAAGGATTCACTTTTGGAATTGGAGCTTCTACAAACACTTTTTTGACATCAGATTGTTCCTCTGCTGATTCCTTGTTACTGGTCACATCTTTTTCATCTTTTTTATCTTTGTCTTTGGGATTACCATCTTTTTGCTTGTCTCTAGGAACATGATTATCTTTCTTGTCATGTTTTTCATGCTTTTCCTTTTCTATATGAGCAACTTTGTTCTTCTTTAGTTTCTCATTTTTCCTATCCTTCCTGCTGTGGCTTACTACAGGAGTAAAAGTTCCATCATCATCTGCAACTACATTCACCTTAGAGGTTTCTGGTTCAGGTTGTTTTGTATTTTCAACCACTGCCTGTGCTTGATGATTTTCTTTATGAGTTTCCTCAATATTTTCCTTATTATTGTTATAAGTTGTCTGTTTAAAATTTAGTACTGCATGGGCATAAGATGCCCCTGGTTCTGATTTGGTGTTATTGTCATCCTCTAATCCAGGATTTTTTGGTGTTGGAGGAACACGTGTATCCATACTAATCTACCTTACTTTGATTTGATACAGGGTAAATAGGATTAGTAGTAAATAAATTTCGAAAAAACAATATGGAGTGTTACCATGTTGGTTTAGTAAAGCATGGTATCTGTCCTTAGCCTCAAAAACTTGATATTGAACACGGTCACAACACTACACATGAATGTCCAGAGAGAAAAACATTACGTAACATAAGAAAATTGTGTTTTTATTATTTTCCTGACTAGGATTGCGTGAAAACACAGTTTATTTTTTAACTAACTCCACGGGGAGCAAGAGCTCGTGCTAATTCCATACACCTTCCAAGGGTAAAACAAAAACTTAAAACACGAACATATTATGTATGTCAATGTCAGTTAATTGCCAACTGTCAATCTGACCACGGAAAAGTATAGAACATCAAAATAACCATACAACACATATACAAGGTGATCACGTGGTGATCACTCTCTATGAACACACATGCTCGGAGATGTTTATTAGCGAATTCCATTGGTAAAACTGGCTCGCACTGAGTGGATATCACGTATCCCATTGTAAAACTGGCGTCAGATTTTGAATTCAATTGGATAACTGGTTCACGTAGTTAAGAGAATCAGTGCAATAATTCTCGCACGAGCTCAAAGGCCTGTATTTATAGTCGTTTCCTCAAGACCTCCTCAAGTCTTCCTTATCTGAGGATTTCATGAGGACTCCTCAGTAGTTGGCGTTTAACTTGTTTTATAGACCTTCCTTGAGTATTCCTTCTGAAAAGAGCCCTTACACTTGGCAACAGTGTATAATTTTAGTGTTGTATGACTAAATTTGTTGTTTTATGTCACGTGTTTGTCAGAAAATGTGAAATGTCAGATTTGACAAGTTGCTTATATATTCAGTTCATTGCAGGGTTGCCATCTTAGCGGTTTTGTCGCTAAATCTAGAGTTTTTAGGGTAGGTTTGGGTGAATGCGACATTTCAACCTGATTTGCGACGTGTCGGAATTCTAGCGTCTTCAACATAGTCATTGGATCACATGAATTGTTGACGACGGATATGAATAATTCACATTGCAACATTCGAGACGAAGAGAAAAGCAGAGAAGAGAATGACAGATGATGGCTTTGTTTTCATCATTTGCCCCACTTCTGCCACTTTTTTATGATATTTTGTATATTCGATATGATTTCAAAATTTGTGATGCTTGTGAAAATTTTATTTTGCCTATATCAGTATTAAAACTTCTAGGAACCAATGAGAGTTATAGCAATGAAGTCGCAGATATGTATGATGTTGAACTAAAAAAATGAGTTGATACATGGTTTGACAGGTTAATCAATGTGTGATTAGATCAAAGACATACCTCAAATACGATCGAGAAATGTATGTTGTGATTTACCAGTATACCTACCTAATATATATAGTACCAGTACCGAATGTAATTGAATAGGAAAATTCACCAATATTCATTTCGTTTTTTATATTGTGTTTTTTTTTCAGTCTGAACAGATTCTGAATACATAAAGTCTTTATGATTTTTGTTTGATGTTATAAACTAACTGAAAATGAGGAAATATATTCGAAATGTCGCTGAATCACGAAGAAATGTCGCCAAATTTTCAGAATTTTGGCCTGCGGTGGGTTTTCTGCTTGCTTCGCTCGCTTTAGCGACTTCTAGCGATTTTTTTCCTAAATTTTTGCGACATTTTTTGTTCAGCAGCTGGCAACACTGGTTCATTGTGTGTTTACTGTTGTGAACATCGTTCAAATCGGGATTGGGCCTCTCAATATATTACTTGGATCACAGGCAAAATATATCCAGGGAAGGTTCCGCAAAATGAAGAAAGGGTCGAAGAGTTAATCGATGACGATGTTGGAAAATTACAATACAAAAATTACTGTGTTAAAAACGGATTCTTTCGAGCTGCAATGGAATAATATGCCAGAGAGAGGAAAACTATCCATTTGATTGAATGCTTCGAATGAATCTGTGATTTCGTGTGGTTGTTCATTGAAAATGTATTTTGAATGTCATTCTACTTGATTATTTGGGATTTAACTCCTCGTTTCTATGAAATAGAAATATGAGTATTATTTCAAGAATGTATGCATATACAGGGTCGCTGATATGTATGGAAACAGGTGAATATCTCGGTAACCTGTAGTTGGATTTTTTTGAATTTATGTACTGTGTGATTTCAAAACGTGGCAGATTTGAAAATGTTATAGTCAATGTTGCCACTTTTTCAGTTATACCGGATTTTTTATTAACTGCCTTATTTTGAATAGAACACCCTGTAATTTATTGGATTTTCAGATTCTCCCTGAAGAGCTAATTCCATCGATCTATCACACTTGGGGTCTAGCAGGAATGAATACATAGGTATAGGGTGTTTAAAATCTAGATTTTTCAACTTTAATATTTTTTTGTGTCGAAACTATTCATTATCGATCAAAACCGCTCCAATGTTCCCATCTTTACTTCTGATTCACTATCTACTGACATTTAATTGAAATAAATACAGGGTGGTTCAAGATTCAGAAAATCAGAATTCTGATCACCCTCTGTATCTGTTCCAATTAAATAGTCAGTAGATGGTAAATCGAAAGTGAAGATAAGAACATTGAAGCGGTTTTGATCGATAATGGATATATAGGTTCTACACAAAAAAATCTTGAAGTTGAAAAACCTAGATTTTAAACACCCTATACCTATGTAATTATTCCAGCTCGACCCCAAGTGTGATAGATCGATGGAATCAGCTCTTCAAGGAGAATCTGGAAATCCAATAAAGTACAGGGTGTTTCATTCAAAATAAGGAAGTTACTAAAAATCCGGAATAACTGAAAAAGTGGCAACAGAGGCTATAACATTTTCAAATCCGCCACGTTTTGAAATCACACTGTACATAAATTCAAAAAAATCTAACAACAGATTGCCGAGATATTCACCTGTTTCCATACATATCAGCGACCCTGTATGTATTTCAATTTCATGAAAAATCATCAAGATGATACCGGTAGGTATATAATTGTAAATATGCTGAGTTTCCATTATGTGTAATATATACCTATTATTTTGAATGAAAAAGATTTACTTTTCAACTAAACTTCGAAATCGATATACTTGAATCAGATTCTTTGTACAAATTTCAAGACTTGAACATCCATTTGATTACTCCATTCAGTATATTCAATTTCATCATTCCATTCATGGATTTCATAACATAACCTTAAATTAATACTTGGATTCTGAAGGTACCTCTTCACCTTCCTTGTAAGTTTTTGAAGTTGGTAGAAACATTCAATATGAATAGTTTGAAAGCCAAATTGTTAGTGGCATCATCATCAAATAGTGATGAAAAGTTGGAGGTTTCAAGAAAATAAAGGAGACTACTTCCCAGAATTTATAATTTCGTTGAGTGTTTTGCACTAATTCAATGATGAGGTAAAATATGTACTCATTAAAAAAGTTCTCAAAATTATTTGTCTGTTCTAAATTGAAGCTAGGAAAGAATTTCAAGATTTTTCCAGTACTGTTCATAGAATATATCAAGCATGTTTCGATATTCCCTAATAGTACTGCGCAGAGAGATGTATAGAAATTTAACATTGTTCAAATTTCACTAAAATTTACTGGCAACGTTTTCGCGGGTCATCGCAAATGAAACCCTGTTAGGGGCTGAAAGTAGTTATAACTGTTGGCTACTGGTGAAGAAATGGTCGTCATGCTGGTCAAGTTCCGATATCGCCACAGTTGACAATTTACTGGCACTAAACTAGCAGTAACCATGGTGGATATTTTCACCATGGCAGTAACTTTGAATTTTCATCTCATTTTGGAACGATCTTGGCAGGAGTACACTGGCACCAGCAAAACAACCATAATAACCTCTATTATTTTTCGATTTTTCGATGTTTTGTTGGTTTTCATTTTCATCATTTCACTCACTCACGTGAAAATCATGAATGAAGTGATTAATCATACATGTCTCACTTCTAATGGAAGCACCCCTGTATCTTTGGTAATTAATTGTTGAGTTATGATTTTGAAATTTGCAAAAGCGGTAGATATAACTGAAAATACACACTATATGACCAAGTGGAGTCGTCTCCGGTGACACTGCTCGCCAATGTCGCCAACCACCCACAAAAATGATATAAGGATAAGGAGGCAAGGTAGGTTGAAAATCACTTCGGATTCAAAATCAGGACGTCCCTTTCACTTCCTCCTGCAAATTTCAGAACCCTTTTACCTCAATAATTAAGTGAGATTCCAAGAAAACTGAGACACAATTTGATTTTTCTGAACTGAAAATCCTTCAGAAAAAATATGTATAGTCAGTGAATTGGACGTCCTGATTTCAAATCCGAAGTGATTTTCTCAACCTATCTTGGCTTCCGGAAATTTGGGTGGTTGTCCATGGCTGTTGGCGAGCAGAGTGTGCATAGTGTTTATTTTCAGTATATCTCCCGCTCCAGTGAATTTCAGAATCCTAACTCAACAATTACGAAACATACAGGGGTGCTTCCATTATAGAAGTGAGATACAGCACGACTATATATAATATAATGTACATCTTGAGTCAATTCAGATCTTCATATCTCTCCATCTGAAGTTTCAGCTTCAAAATGAGATTTTAAAAATGGGTTGACAACGTAAAACGTTATGACTGACTGCGGAACCAGAAAGTTACATATAATTTTTTGAGATCACTCGATCTGTGAATAAAGGAGATAAGACCACAATTTGAAAAATATGTCCCTAGGTAATGATATCATCTTCATGCCTCTGTTTTTTGTTCATTTGGGATCCGTTTGAAAATTCCGAAATTTTTCATAGTTTCAGGTGACACCCTGTCGCAATTTTACATGGAGAACATCATGTTTTGAAGAAGTACGAGATTATAGCTGAAGAACTGGGCTAGCGAACAGTGCAATCCGAATTCAAATTGTTCAAAGCAGAAAAAAAATTATCCATATTTTAACAGGGACATAATTTTAGAGTGCGATGAAATTAGTGTTGCGTAGTTTATATGATTTTAATCGACTCATACAAAGGTGGATACCAAAACTCCTAAACATTCAAACGCTTAACCTAACATTCCATGAATTCGCGATGGAAAATAACACGTCGCTCCACCTCACGGCAACAGCAAAGAATAGTAGGTTAGTCACCAAGCGGTTTGTTTTGATGATGTGACCAATAAGCACAAACTTTAGTAATAGCAGAGACAGAGATAAGTTACCCACAGAGGGTAACTTATCTCTGGCAGGCAGAGACAGAGATAAGTTACCCACAGAGGGTAACTTATCTCTGGCAGAGATTATACACTCCCTAGTTTGTCAAGGTTGGTTGAACAGTTTGTTACTCGTGGCGCCATCTGATGCAAGTTGATATAAGATTGTGTCTGTGTAATACAGTTGCCTTTATATGATATTGATAGAGATATTTTGTATCGACTGTGCTTATCGTCAGACGTCAAAATGTATTTCCGATTTCCTCTTGTCGTCGTGTCATCGTGCTCTTGACGATGACGAAATTGAACTGAATAAAGTTAGTCTGTGCTTACTGCTGAACAACAAAAGTAGTTTCATTCATTTTGATTATCACTAGTGGCCAACAATAAACTTCTAGCCTCTAATGGCGCGTTCACATGACAGCTTTCGCATATCGCGGAAAGCTTAAATAAAACGAGCGCTCTGTTCACATGAACTAATTCTGACAAAAGCGACAGATGAGGAGACAAATATGATAATCAAAAAATTCAGCAAGAAAATTGAATTATCATTGTTCATGGAATTTCGGGAATATATCCGTTTCGAATAACGTTTTTCACATATTTAAGTGAGTTCATCATCTACAATAATTGAACTTCAATCAATAAATAATACCAATTGAAATTACATAAAATAGTTATTTACAGTAATTCCCGTGATACATAGATAATTTTATTTCTGACTGATTTCATTCATTAGATACCTTCCCGATTGGAAGTTAGACAAGTTTTTCCGTATAGTTTCAATGTCATCAGAACGTCAGATGATGATCTTGACTACCGCGAATAGGAGATTCCTTATTGCTACGTTACTGCGTGGTTGTTGCTATGCATTTCTTATTTAATTTTAGTTAGAGGGAATTATAGCATCTATAACATCCCAAGGGAGTTATGACCCTCATAATAGATATCGTAACTATGACGATATAAGCTTATAATGTCACTGTCAGAAATAAAACAATATATATCAAAAAGTAGGAGATAATACTAAGCAGTTGACAGAATTCAGTAATCTTTATTGATGACCGTGAATTCTACAGAAATGTTATCAACTACCTATAACTGGAAATTGTACCAACATTTCACTATTTTCCATATTTGAATACGACATATTTCACCACAGTTGACAACAACAACTAACCTGAAAAGATAAAACCCTGGAAATCGAAGCTTCTTTTAGACAAAAAGTCGGATTGTGATAACATTTCGGCATATGACCTTGATACGTGCTTTCACATAAATTGGCGAATAAAATCACAATACGCCATAAGCCAAGAGGCGAAAAGCCAGCATGTGAACGCGCCATAACAGGGTTTCTTGCAATGACCCGCGAAAACGTTGCCAGTGAATTTCAGTAAAATCGGAACGACAAATCCACAAATACACCTGGGCAGTACTGTTCGGGAATATCGGAACATGCTCGATGAACTCGAGCTCGAATTCATTTTCTATTTCTATTTCTCGATCAAGTCGCGTTGCGATCGAATTCGACTTTAGAAATCGTAGTTTTTTTGTTTGGAGAAATGGGATGAGAAAGCACCGAGACCAAAGCATGAAATGATAATATACTGTGGCCAAAGCCATCACAAATTTGAGATTATGGTTATATTGTTTTTATGAATTTCAATTTTTTAAAAATGCGATAAAAATGTTACTTATTGTTCGAGATGGTATTCTAGCAGCTCGACGACAACAACTATAAAACAGAAGTACCGATAATCCTTTTACTTCAACTGAAAAAAGATTCAATGAGCTATTTATTTGACAAAACGGTTGGTTCGTCTTTTGATTCAATCATTGAGACCCCACTTGTTAGTGGAAGTAAGGATGTCTCCATCCTTCCTTTGAAGTGCCGCCTCGGGAGCGAACACCGAGCATCAGTTCGGCAACAGCTGTACAACTGTTGTGCAACTGTTGCGCAACACGTACACACTGTGTAAACTTTTGTGTTTCTCGAGTGTTGTTCCACTGTTGCACAACAATGTTTGCTTGGTCTGTTCCCACCTTTATGCCATTACTCAGGAGTTCGCTTGACAAGCCCCAATAAATCGACATCTGATTCACAGTTTTCTATTGATTTCACGACGATTATAGTATCTGAAAATCGTCCTGTCTGTGCTGTGGTCATGTTCTGTGCTGTTCTGAAAATGTTATCAACATTTCCCAGTGGGCATCTCTGAGTTTGAAACGCATCGAAAATGAATTATTATTCTATTTATGAAGTAATTAGTTGATTACACTCTTTCACATAAACAAGATGAAAAGAAACATTCGATAATAGATAGGGATAGATTGACTAGATTTTTTCTCCATATTTAGCAGACAATGGGCCAGATAAACGGAACACTACCGCAGTGACAACCTAAGTAACATGAGTTCTGTGCTGATTACTGAAGAAAACGAGTTAGGAATTACAACACTGTACTATAGATTTTATATTTCGGAATGCTGATTGTTAACAGAGTCAGTGGATCTACTGACAGTACTGGTACTGACCAGTTACATTGAGTTCAGTGCACTTGTCAGCTTGAGTCGAAATATTTGGAATGAATAGGTCTGTTCGTTTGTGATGCTGAACTTACTGAAGTTGATTTGTTATCTCTGTTCATGGCATTATGTAGACAGAGAAAGTCGAGCTTAGCAGGTACAGCATTACAGCAAACACAAACGAACAGGCCCTATAGTATGTCTGCTCACAAATATCTGTCACTTTCTCATGTATCTATTAATTAACTATACATGATAAATATATGTACTTTCTGTAAATTTTTTGATTACGGAATAAAAAATCACCAGATTCAGTACTGGCAGTTGAATTCCGAATATAGCCAAAGGCAAATACACATAATACACACCACCACACCAGAAATAAATAGTGTTTTCTGGTATTTGGTAGTAATATGTAATCTACTTTTCAAAACACAAGAAAGTCATCATTGGTATCTTCAGATATTACTGGCTCGGACAGTCCGGCAATTCCGACATAAATCCCAGATAAATCCACCTTTATCCTGATCCTGACAATCCTATGTTCTCTCTGGATCATATCATTCATATATTTTTCTCTTAAGATGACTGATGTATTGATGAAACCTATTATGACAATAATGGGAATATTTATTATACATTTTTTTATTATGCTGCAATTGATTGGTGGAGGTAAACATTGCACATGATTTTTTTGTAATATTCTATGATATATTTAATCACAACTGATTTTTAGGGAATGGAGAAAGAACAAAAGACCAGATGTATGAAAAAATAGATGGTTCAAGTGCTTGTTACAGAAGGCTGAATGCTACTCACCAAATAGGATGTTCTTGTATGTAAATATACCTACTATTAATTTCTTCCCCTATGAACTTTGGGTATTTTAGCAAACCGAGGAGGTTCTACAGGTACTATACATGTTTGTGATAGCAAAAGAGACCTGAATTTCTTATTGGTCAATGGTACAGCTTTTCCATATATACCTGTTCTACCAGTTAAATATTTCAATGTGGAAAATTTGGAGAGAATGATTGAAAGCAAAAAGGTATCAGGGCTTGTTCTTCATTTAAATAATGAGACACTTAAATCTCTAGATTATTTCACCCATGATTATCAGTGTCCTAACCCATACTCAAGTTTAACTGATACTTGTAATGAAGTGTCTACTTGGAATCCTTATGGTACAGGGTTGTTATACAGAGATATTCCTTTTCCAATATTCTACATAGACAGTTATGAAGAGGTACTAAAAATGAGAAATTGTTTTGAAAAATTCAATAATTTTTCTTATGAAAGTCAGTCAGATAGATCATTATGTTCCTTGGAATTGAAGTCATTCATGTATGCCACTACAAACACTCCTACATGCAGAAGGTTTGTACATTTCTTTTTGATATCAATGATAAATAGATACTTACAATATTTTTCAGACGATCAAATATAATAACAAACTTGAATCCAGTTAAGTTCTGTGATCCACTAGGTGATAGTAACATATGGGCTAGCCTGTATCCTTTAGCTGATGGTCCACGAAGAAATGAAACAAAACCATTGAAAGACTACAAATACATCATTATTTCTGCAAGGTTAGATGCAACATCTATGTTCGACAAAACATCTGGAGCTAACAGTCCTGTAACTGGAATTGTTACATTGCTAACAGTAGCAAAATATCTGAAAGAAATTCTTCCAATAGAAATTGTAAGAGAAAGTGAGTTAACATTTGAACTTCACATTCTATAGTAGAGTATCCATGGGTCAATTTCTGAGTATCAGGTCATTCCCAGGGCCATCTTAAGAGTTTCAGCCACAAGGCAGGAGATTAGTTGGGGCCCAAATATTTTTCTGCATTAGACTAAAATTGGTAATACTTGAATAGATTATAATATGTAACCAGTTCGCTTTCCTCATCCAGCAAAATCCCATAGTCACCCAAAATGCCTTTAAAAATTATGCTTGAACATAAATAATAACCAGTCTAACATGAGTTCTACCGCTTATGTACAAAATTTAGTTGGCAAGTTGACTCTGCCAGTCTCTTCGAAGTATCTGTCAAACAATAATATGGTCAAAAATCAAGGAAATTTTTAGGAAATAGACTCATTTGATACTTTCATCAGTGGAAAATGGCTGTTTCAAATTCAGATTTCCCAAGTGATATCCAGAAAGCAGCACAAAATGCAAAAATTCTCTGCATCCATCCATATTTTTATTACATAACTGGTGTTGAAATGAACAATTCATCACCAGTTAGTTGAATTTTTTACATTATGCAACTAGTTGTGAAGTAAGACCTTCCAAAACTCCCGTCAGTTCTGAAAAGTATCATATTACATGTCAAAAATAGAAAATCACTTTTTATTCATGAAATAAAATTGAATTTCGAATATTGATTCGAAAAGGAAAATGTTTTTTTTTTCGAATTTTGACATGAAATTTAACACTTTCCAGAACTGACGGAAATATTGAAACGTTTTAAACCAGTAGTGAGGAAAGTAAAATATTACACAATTAGTGATAACATTTTCATTTCAACACCAGTTATGGAATGAAAATATGGTTGGACAAAGAAAAGTGCATTTTGTGCTACTTCCTCGATATCACTTGGGAAATCTGAACTAATGTATCAAAGGAGTCAATTTTGTGAATTTCGTGGCTGACTTGTGAGGTAATTATTTCTGTTCAAGCGAAATTAGAAAAAAAATATTGTAGGCACCTAACTAGTTAGGAAACGCCTCATTCTGTGTGATGATGGGAATTTGATGGACAAGCAAAGCGAAATCCTGCAAAACACAGAGAACTGGTTACGGAAATATTTTTTATTTCAATATGCAAATAAATATCTAGTAGGTCCTAATTTAAAATTAGGTAAACTAAAAACAATTTTTTGGGAAAGATAGGTAATAAGTAAGTACTCAGTAAAATACAAAGCAAAATACCCTAAACATGTTGTTTTAGATTCGGAATAATTTTTTTTGTAACTTCATTTTTGATAGACAAAAGTGCCAAAGAATTTAGTATCTCTTGTCCTAAGGACGAACGCAAATGATTATTCTCCAACTTCAGCAAACTGCGTTAATATTATATGAATGGCAATACTTATTAGCAATGTATTCATTCGTCAGTAACCCGCCAGAAAGTCTCGCATTATGCATTGACCATGCATTCTTGTTGAATACCAACTGGATACGGAGCTTGGATGTTGTCCTAACACATGTATACAGTCGGAAAAATCACTGTCGGGTAGGCTGACGCGGGTCATGGAAAATGAATAATAAGCCTCACGTGCCTTGTGGTTAAGATGGCCCTGGTCATTCCATGAATGAATAGTTATGAGTTAGTACATCTGTTAGAAAGAGTAGTGAGTACTTGACATCATCTATTAGTACACCTTTTGGACATATCTGAGATGTTTATAAATTAATATGTTCTTGTTTCTCTTTTGTCCAATCGATGTGGCTTCAAAAAAATCAAAATAAAAAAAAATGATTTTAATATACATGGTGTCTGTAAAAGGTTGGGACATGGCTTGGCTGTGGAATCCTGGGATAAAAACAACTTGATTTTGGCCAACTTACCTGTATCCAAAATCGTCTCGTTGAGTTTGGACAAGGCATCGAAGTTTTTTTGGAAAAAATAATTTTGCTCATAAAAAGAGTAGGCTGAGATCAATTTTGATAATTTTTGGCATGGCATGTTCTGTGACTGTAAGTCACGTTTTGTGATGTTTTTGATCATCATCAGTGACCTGCAAGTGTTTCAAACAACCATGTTGCCGTACAAATTTGGTGATAACTTTTCACAGGTCAGACTGGAAACTTCCAGTTTTTTTTTCCAGAAAGATATTTCCTTCAGAAATATTTTTCGTATTGGGTTAATTTTTGATAAGTCTCGAGGTTCATTCGCAAATAAATAATTTCTGATCTGAGGCATCTTATGCATTTTTTAGAAAAATAATCTGGTTGGGACATGGCTTGACTGTAGACTCCTGGGATAAAAACAAGTTGATTTTAGCCAACGTATATCCAAAATCGTTTCGTTGAGTTGGTACAAGGCGTTAAAGTAGGAAAAATACGTAGGATGCATCATATCAGAAATTATTTATTTGCAAATGAACCTCGAGACTTATCAAAAATTAACACGATACAAAAAATATTTCTGAAGGGAATATCTTTCTGGAAAAAAAACTGGAAGTTTCCAGTCCGACCTCTGAAAAGTTATCACCAAATTTGTACGGCAACATGGTTGTTTGAAACACTGGCAGGTCAATTATGATGATCAAAAACATCTCAAAATGTGACTTACAGTCACAGAACATGCCTTGCCAAAAATTATGAAAATCGATCTCAGCCTACTCTTTTTATGAGCAAAATTATTTTTTTCCAAATAAACTTTAACGCCTTGTACCAACTCAACGAGACGATTTTGGATATAGGTAAGTTGGCCTAAATCAACTTGTTTTTATCCCAGGAGTCCACAGCCGAGCCATGTCCCAACCTTTTACAGACACCTTGTATAACCTGATTTCTTGAACAATATTGAAGTTAAAACCATTGAAATAGTCAATCATATTTTCAATTAGAATAAGTGACTGAAAGTTGAGTGTTTTCATTTTAACCAATATGGGGGCATTTCTCAGTTTCCTTTGTGCACATATTTTTGTGAGTTTTGCATACTGCAGTTGGAAAATATAATTGAGTTACAATAATTATACCTTTCGCCAAACACCAAACCAGAGTGCCTTTCATATTATGGAATATCAAAGTTCACCCAAACTTGTCCAGTTTTGATGACATATAAAATAAGGTTTATACACAGAAAAGAACGAAGAATCTACTCTATTTATATTCGCTATCACGTTCTTGATCAACTCTAATACTCTTCTAATGAAAGTTCTAAAAGGAAACTATTATTGAGTCTCAATAGTGTTGTTTAGTAAAAATTGTCTATTATTGTCTTGATGTGATTCTATTATTTTGACAAAGTCAAATATATCAGAAAAACTTCTCTCAAATTATTACAAATACAGAGTGATTCAGGTTTTGAGGCACAAACTGTAATGGAAGATAGATCTCATCATTTCAATCGGATAAGTCCATATAAACATAAGTCCGATCTCGTCCAGAAGCGGAGCTACAGGGGGTCAAAGTTCAATAATTTTGTTCTATTAATTGAAATATCTCGCTTACTTCTTGAGATTTCACTTTGAAATTTGGTGTGGTTTACACTTCCTAGAAGGTAATCATTTCAAGCTATTTGAAGATTTTCAAAATCTACAGGGTGATAGGTTTTTGTGGGTAGAGGCTTCTTTATCCCCCCCAAATTTTTTCATACGCCTCTGGCATCTTTCACTGATCAAATTGTGTGGATCGTTCAATTTGGACGCTTTTTTGCTTCCTAATTCTTTTCGAGAAAACGAACCGTTTTTGTGATAAATGAGCATATACGTTCTAAGATATGTTAATTTTGCCTATGTTTCGCTTAAATTTTATTGTTTGACAAAATTCGTTGAGAATACAATGAAATGTACTCACTAAAATTGCAATCACGAGTCCAATCTGGATCTGTAACGGGGATACAGAGGGTAGAAAGTCAAGTTTTTTTTTTCAGATGAATAAAATTTAAGCGAAACATAGGCAAATTTAACATGTTTTAGAACGTATACAGTGTGTCCATTTAGTGCGTAATTCTTCGATATTTCGAAATCCATTATCACTAGAGAAAAAATTTCGGAAACAAATTTCTTCCGTTATTGAAGGTTCCATTTCAAAAATATTTTCAACAATACTGGGTGTTTTATAAAAGCGGAAGGACTCGGAGACGAGTTTTTTCAAATAGAACACCCAGTATTTGTTATTCAAAATCCATTTCGTTACGGTTTAGCTCTACATCGCTGTGAAAAAAATTGGATTCGGTTGAGGCGTTGCCAAGTTATAATTGATAAACCCATTTTTACTACTATTGAAGGGTCATGTTGAATTGGGTATGGTATATTCATTTATTGAAATTTTGAGAAGATTTTTTGCATACAGTAGTAGCAAGGTCTCACGTACACCAATCCAGTAATTTTGCGAGATTATCCTTTACAGGGTGTTGAAGTTTACACTCTGAATATTGTTAGATTCAGACGACGTTCACTAGAAATTTTCAAATGGAACACCCTGTATTTTTCATCACAGATTCATTTCGACATCATTCGCCTTTTCATCGCTGAAAAAAAAATTGAAATCGGTTGCGGGGTTTTCAAGTTATGAGTAATTTCCTTATGTTCATCGCTATCTCAGGGCAACTTATGAGACATAGTTCCGTTATTTGATTTGATTGTGGGAATATTGCTTGCCACATGACATTCGAGGTTCTATACATAGATCATTCAGGTATCTTTGCGATATAAGCATTGTCAAAATGTGAAACAAACATGCCAAAAGCAAAACGCCTGCCTTTAAAACAACTTCTACAATACAAACAATGGAGATTTGAATTGCGAGAATAAGGACAATTTTTTGAAATTTGGACCACTTTTATTGTCGTTATTCCCACAAACCAAATCTCCAAACTTGAAGGAGGCAAACTCTACATAATGATACAAACATTTCTTTACTACGCGGGTTTCGGGAGGGAATTCAGCAAATTTTCAAATAAATTCAAGATATATTTGATTGTGACGATGTTTGACAGGTCATTACACGAATAATGGAAGTGTACTTCAAA